GTTTTCCATCGGCTCCCTAATAATCAGTGAAATGCTTAAGGGTTAAAAAATCAGTTTCTGTATAATGGCTTATATATTCAATCTGCACTGCTACTTGTGTATGCAAAGATAAATGCTAAAAAATGATTGTTTGGAAGCCTTAGGAGGCTTTCACTGTTATTTTAATTATTTATATGTAGCTCATCAAGTGTTTAACGTGCTGTTACTAAGCTCATCTAATTTCTTTTCAGGTCTCAGTGCAGGGAATCATATGTCTGCATCTCTTACTTCAGATGGGAAACATATTTTATCAGCATCGGAGGACTCTAATGTATATCTCTGGAACGTTAGTCAGGAACAGTCTAGTCCCAGAAAAACCAAGAAGATAAGGTCTTGTGAGCGGTTCTTTTCAGATGCTTCCATTGCAGTGCCTTGGTGTGGTTTGAAATCTCAACATCCTGCAAATGAACATCAGCTGGGTGTTTTAGACCAGAGATCGTCTCAAACTGTATGTCCCAATCCACCTGCTTCTTTTTCTTTAGGCCAAGAGTTTTTCTCTGAGTCTCCTAGGGGATCTGCAACTTGGCCTGAGGAAAAGCTTAATTCTTCAAGCCCCAACCCTGGAAAATCTGCAATGCATAAATCTGATTACAAGTTCTTGAAAGCTTCTTGCCAGAGTACCTCCAGTGTTCATTCATGGGGTCTGGTGATCGTGACTGCAGGCTTGGATGGGCGGATAAAATCATTCCACAATTATGGGTTACCTGTTATTATTTGAAACCAGTGGCCTTTTCCCTTGTTGGAAAGAGAACCTAGATTCGTTGCTTTGCTTGGGGCATATTGTCCTCGGCAAATGGCATGCTGCTACTGTTCTGAGGGCCGAGAGTGATGTTGAACCGATAAGCTTGGCCGCACCAGTAACAAATCAGCTTTTTGAGGGGCCCTCTTTGGATTTCAGGGAAATAACATCACCAATTACCTCATGACATGTGGCAGCGGTTCCATGGTTTTAACGTGAACCTGCTTGAAATCAAACAGCCATTGTCCGAACTTAGCTTGTCTCAATCCAGATCAAATTTCCATTTGTTGGAAAGAATCTTCTGGCCCCAAAAAAGTGATGCAAAGTCATGTGTTAAACCTCTACAGGAGAGACCCATGTGGGATACTGTCTATCTTCTTTCATATGGAAGAGCAGATTCAGGAACTGGTGGCTGAAGTTCAGTTAGAGAGAAAATGGTGGGGAAGCTAAGGATTTATATAACTGGCTGGTTTCAACTGATTAGATCTCTTTGTCTGCCAATCTCAAGTCCTTCTCATGGTGGGGCTGAATATTATATACACAGAGTTAGAGGTGGAGGTGTGGAGCTGTGGATGATTGCGACTGCCATTTCTGCTTCAAGACGTGCATTTTGCACTAAAAGATGCAAGCAAATAAGTAACCGAACTGATTAAGTTCTGTTTTTTAAAGTAGTTCTTCTAACAATATCATTGCTAGCTAACATTTAATTTATCATCTCTCAGTGTTAGGCTGACTTAATACTTTGTTAGTTATTAGGATCTTGTCCTACTGTTTTAGTCTGACAGGAAAATGCCATTTTGGTGTTGGCATATATGGAAATTTGTAATTTTCTTATGTAAATAAAATTTTTTGGCTCAACCTCTGGATGATGAGGTTCATGGCTTGTACCAAGTTTGTACACCGCACATAAACTATAGTTTCGTTTTTTTTCCCCACAACAGATAACGATGGGAATAAGATACTTTGATATTATTACACATGTTAGTGATAGTGACATTTGTAAGTATTGGTTTCATTCCACACCCATGTCAGTTGGTTTTATTCCACACCCCTGTCCTTCATGGTTCACTCAGTAACTCTGTTATGGAACAGAAACCACCGGCAAGGATCCTCTTGAGTGAGATCTGAAGTGGTAACGTAACAGTTTGAAACTTGTCCTCTGTCACGCAATTTAGATTTTTTTTTTTTGGGGAAAAAAAGTCAAGCAAGACTTGTGAATTGCATTTATCACTGCACAAGGATTTTCACTTCCCTTCTTTGTAGAGGCATTTTTGTTGGAGCCAATCAATGTCAATTATATAATCTATTACTAATTTCATGTCATACATAAAAAGTTGTCTAGTTCTTGTATTTAAAAAAAAAAGTTCTTGGTGTAAGTATAATGCGGATTAATGCATCACTATCAAGTGAAATCAAGGAGGTGCTTGGGTAAGAATAAAACTATCGTTTCAGAAATGCTTTTACGGTATACGAAGTAAATATGTTGAGAAATTTGTCTCGATTTGTAAAAAAAAGTGCTTTTGAAAAGTGTTTTTGGGGTTACCCAAACAGGTTGTATTTTTTTGAGTGTGAACAAGGAAAAAACATATCTAAAAAAAGAACATTACATGGTTGATTTCAAAAAGGACTCGATTCTGTGATGATGCTCAATTGACAAGCCTTTTGAACTCATTTTTCACTTTTCTGGTTTCAATTATATAATTGGGAGTATTCAATAAAGTATTAAAAAGCATCAATAACAAACTAATATCCTAAGTGGAGTTCAAATACAATTGGAACATTAAAAAACAATACACCTTTTATAGTTAGGAAAGAGGAACCTGGGATATGCACATGGGAGTTTAGTCTTTAACAATCTCATATTTAATCTTTCTATATAGACTTACCTTTTATTCTTCGGGTCCTTACCTTAATATGTCCCGTTCAAGTAATATCTGAATAAATGCCAATCCAATGAGCACACGGTAGTTTATTTCAAAGGCAAAAAAAAAAAAAAAAAATCCCATTTGTCAGCAATAAAAGTCACCCCTTCAAGCTCCAAATCCAATACACAAGTCCACAGATTTATGCAGATTTGAATGACAAATACTTTTTAACTGAGTTTTCGTTAAGAACCAACAATGCAACTTGGCTTTAAAAATATAAAGCGAAAGGCCAAACCACTGAGAAAGAGAGAGAGAAACACATAAGCAACTGGAAAACAAAATGTATTAAATGGAAGGTAGTGCGATGAAGAATAATGCTGCAGTGTATTGCCTTAATCATTCACATAACATCATGAACTATTTTATAAACTAAACTGGACGAGAAATTATTAAGGCAAGATAAATTGCAGAAGAATACAAAAGTGGATGAATGAAAGTGGGAAGGCATGAACAGGAAAAAGCAAATTGAGAAGCACATGATAATGAAACAATCTCTTGAGGCACATGCACGTGGGAGGCTTCAAATGAGAAGGGAATCAAGCAGACAAACTTGCAACAAAATCACTGATTTATGTGCTGTAATCTCACTCAACCTTCTCTTCCTTTGCACTTTTTTTTGTTTATTTTATTTATTTATTTATTGCTGAATATGGATTAATCTAATATGATTTGCCTCACTAACCCGCCATTTCTGACACAAAACCATGTAAGTATTTAGTTTAATTGATGATTTGGTCTTTTAATTCCTGAACATCTTAATTAATGCTCTGTGTATCATTACTTTAAAGTAAGGTCGGTTTAATAATTCTTTTCAACGTATTTGTTTATAATAAAGCCCAATCATTTAAGTGCAATGTATTTCTAATCCCCAATTTCACCATTTAGAAGATTGTGTACAGATTGGACGAGAAGACAGTCTCCGTTTGGCTGTTGGAAATGATGGGGAAAAATTGATTAAATTAACAATGATCAATGATAAATTTTTGTAGGAGTGGGGCAATTAAATAATATAAGCTCATGAATTTATATTTTCAATTTTTGATAAATGATAATGATAATTGCTATGAGAGAGATCATTCATATGGTTATAGTCATTAATACATGATTATTCAAATAAGAATCATACAAAATATGCTTATATTGTGAAAAATCATATGACAAATTGACAATGCCTGGTTACCTATGAATGATGTGATTCCTAAAAACCCACCATGGATAATTAAACTATAAGAACAGAATTTCAGGCCAAAAAATCTATAAAAACAGAGTCAGAACATGCATTTTCAAAAATAACAAAAGCTTCGAAGTACTACTTTCGGTCCTTAATATAAGATCTTGTTTGACTTTTATTTTGGTCCTAAATATAAGACCCTAATCCACTTTGTCTCTCATATTTATGTATTTTTTTCCCAAGATAGTCCTTCTAATAATAATAGTTTTAGCCAATATACTTGATTAGTAAGGATATTTTAGGAAAGACAACATATATTTATTATAAATAACTAACTTAAATTCTTTCTTTAATCTCCTTAAATTAGTCAATTAGCTCTTATAATTAGGGTCAGAGATAGTATGAATTATGTCAAAATACTGATTCAAGACCCACAATAGAAAATTTCTTATCACATTTATGAAGTTTACATGGAGTGTGTAATGTGTGAAGAGTTCGTCTCTTTTTTGGTAGCAAGAAAACAGCTTTGGTTTTAAAAAAAAGGATTAAAAAAACAGCCATTTCATTATGTTTTTTGGGCGACATGGCTGATGTAGATATTGCCAACGACATAACCCAATATTCTCCTTTTCGAACATTAGACTCATTTTTGTTTTTGGTATTTTGGTGGCAACATTACATTCTTTTCTGGGTTATTAAACTGGGCTTGTACAATTTAGCCCGAAACAACCTGTTGTTTTTTTTAAGGCCCACAGGGTAAATTTGCGAAACAGGACCGGCATCATATTATAGTATATTAAAATATACTTTAAAAGCAATTGATCATATTATCTCTATTTCTAATTATAAAACCTTATTTAAAAGCTACAGACAAAATCTTATAATTAGGATCAGAGTTTGTAGTTAAAAAGAAAATCACAACCTATCTTTTGTAGGAATTTTTTATTTCAGATTTTGAGTAATACCATTTTGGAAAATTTTTAATTATATTATTTAAATATAATAATACTCAGAATACAGTGTACGTGAAAAAGTGGGTAGATTATGGCTTCATAGTGCCACGAATGATGCCACGTAAAATATCTATTCGCGGATAAGCCGCAAGCGACAATGGCCGAAACTGATCGATACAGATAGAGAAGAAGCTTGCTGTTTCCTCTGAGAGCTATGGCCAACCTTTCGATCCCTCTCCCTCGAAACGCCTTTTCCGTCCGCTATTCCTTCCCCAAACGCTCCATTCTCGCTAATTCTGCGCCCCGCTTCTCCATAGCCGCCCGTTGCTCTGGTCTCTCACTCTTCATTCTCTTTGCTGCTTTCTTGTGTTTGTCGAATTTGGTTCATTTTTTTTATGGAATTTTGTTCAGTTTCTGGAAACCTGTTGCTTATGTTTCCTTATTGTAATGTGTGGTGTGATTAGGTGAGTTGGATGGTGGCTCTGAGACTAATGAGAGGTTAGTTACTTTCAACAATATCAAGAGCTTGACCTGTGGTATTCTAGCTGCTTGGACTGTGACTGCTGCTGCTTTTCCCGTTATTGCTGCTAGCCAGGTTCGCTGCTTAAACTGGCCTTCAATTTGAATAGTGATAGCAAACTTAGTGGTGTTCGTTTCTTCATGTGTTTTCGTCAGAATTTATAGCGTTTTTTCTTTGATCCCCTTTTGCCCTACAAGTTTTGATCAAGGAGGTTAATGTGTGTCTCTTTAATGGAAGATCGTTGTTGGATTTCTGATTTGCTGCTCTTTGTAGTTTACACCACAGATTTCATAAGAATTCAGAGTTGATCTTTCTATATTAATTGATCCTGTTCTGTTTGAAGCTGCCATATTTTGTGTGTTCCCATTTTGCACAATGAGATTATAATTTTGTTTTAGACTTTGGACAGTTACTGTCCTTTCTAAAAACCTTTGCGTTGCATGAATGTTAAAGAATGACTTGTGTTATGTATGTTCATGACTTATGGATAACGTGGCTTTCTGCAAGTTATATATGTATATATATTGATGTTGATTTAGTCCCTCATTACCGAAATGGTGTGTACCAAATGAAATCAGTGTCAATTTCTTTTGTATATGGCCATTTAAAGTTTTTAAAAACCGTATGATGTGGACCGTTGAACGGTGATGTGGCAACATGAAATGAGATGTTAGCATACTAGCACCCCTCTTTCTTTTCAATAATGAAGCAAGTTACATACACTGCTTTAGCACAATAAGGAGATGGGCGGGAAGTAACAAAGTTGCATAACTCGCCTTTAATTTTAGGATCAATAATATACAAACTGACAGTCCTGAAAGAAATTGGGAGTTGGGACATTCTTAGTTTGTTCTCCTATAAATGTTGTTCTCAAATTTGAAAATTGTCTCTGACAAGCGAGACCATTATCAATTTGGTCTCTGTGTGCTAGCTAATTCAAAACTAAATAAAAATGTGACACAGACCATTTCTTTGTATTCTAATTTCAGTCTCTAATTTGTCCTGAACATTTGAAGAAATATGAAGTTTAGTGTGTGTCTTGTATAATTTTGCAGATATCACCCTCATTTGTTAAGGCCTTACATTTTCCGTGAAGGCCATCAATGTCTCTTGTCAGTATTCATGATTGCATATTTCTCCCAGCAGATTTCTGATGTTCTCGGTTTCGGAAACATACCATGCCAACTATAGATGTTATGAATTTATAACTGACAATAAGAAATGGTTTACTCCTATCTTCTAGAGGAATAGAAAATACAATGCCCTTTATGGTTTTCTTGCAGAGGCTGCCTCCATTGTCAACAGAACCCAATCGTTGTGAGCGTGCATTTGTAGGTAACACAATTGGTCAGGCAAACGGAGTTTATGACAAACCCTTAGATCTTCGGCTCTGTGATTACACTAATGAAAAGAACAACTTAAAGGGGAAGTCTCTATCTGCGGCACTCGTGGCAGATGCAAAGTTTGATGGTGCAGACATGACAGAAGTTGTGATGTCAAAGGCTTATGCTGTCGGTGCTAGCTTCAAAGGTAACAAGTTAACTTGGTTTCTCTGTTGTGAATTTGTGATCTTTGAAGGCCATCTACTTGTTTACTTGTTACTGTAGGTTTGTTACTTTAGGATATAGTAAAGTTCTTAATCTGAGAAAAACCAAGCGTTTTGGCTTCTTGCCGGTGAATTTTGACCCTGAAAGGTGTGGTTCAGTGTGATTAGAGAATGAGAAGAAATTTCCCTCAGAAAAGCATCAAGATGAAAGCAGAGCATATCATTGAACATGATATGTAAATCTCATGTTTTAAGGAATAGGGCCAAGAGTTAATATCAAGTCCATTTATATATTTGCTTTCGAAAGCCTAACTATGCAAGTTCAATAATGATCTTCACTATTTGCCTTTTACATAACAACCGCGACTTCTTGGTTAAAAGGTGATCGTCTAATGATTTTTCCTATTGAAACTTTGATCTCCAATGACCTTGTTCTTTTGCAGGAGTGGACTTCTCAAATGCAGTATTGGACCGAGTGAACTTTGGGAAAGCTAATCTTCAAGGAGCTGTGTTCAAGAACACATTACTGTCAGGGTCCACATTTGATGAAGCAAAGTTGGAAGATGCAGTATTTGAGGATACTATTATAGGTTACATTGATCTTCAGAAGCTATGCACAAACAAAACTATCAGTGATGAAGGGAGGGCTGAGCTGGGATGCAGGTGAACTGAGTAGACAACTGCTATATCTTAAACCGATAGGCATTTGATCTCCGCTGACGCTTTATAATTAACGTATTCTCTCATGCAATTCGTTATACTGACAAACTGTAGACAATGGTATTGGCATATCTAATAGTATTATATATTGTTAACATGTCGTCCGCTCTCCAGTTTCCCCCAGTAACTCAAAATAAATACTCTCTCCGTATTATATTATATGTAAGTTACAACTAACTAATTTACATTAGATCAAAATATTTGTTAAAATTAGTTAAAAACAACAAATGTGCAAAAAATATATTTTTTTTTCAAATATACTTTTATCTATGGAGAGAGAGTGAAAGAATGAGTGAAGAAAATGAGAGATAATATATGATAACTAATATACAGTTACGTATTTAATGGGCTGTAAAAATCAAAAGAGCAGATTAAATTTTTAGACACACAAATTTATAAGATATAAAACCACCATTATTGCAAAGCAGTATGGCCGGGACCAAGATACTCAAATCAGGATAAATAAATATCTATCTCCATCGCGCTCATCAAGAAGCGCATCTGGTGTAGTGGTATCATAGTACCCTCCCACGGTACTGACCGGGGTTCGATTCCCCGGATGCGCAGTGTTGATTTTTTTGGTTTTTGTTTTCCTTGATCAATTATTCTAAACGCACTCGGCCCCTCGCCATTAAATTCAAGGGATAATTATTTTTGGGAAGCACAAGTTCAGATGGTAATACTAATTTATTAGACCAAAACCCTATATTGCTTGAAGATGGGATGTGGTGGGACATTTTTATTCTTGTTATTGTCAATTTTCTGCCCTTATATTATATTTTATTATTCTTTTATTCCTACTTAACTCTATAAAGATTTTATCGTTCTGTATTTTATCATGTCACATCTTGAGTATAAAAAAATAATGTCACTTCTAACAAAAAATATATTTTTTTAAATCGATTCATCTAAATCCAAAATTTTCATACAACTTAACATCATAGAGTTTGAAGGCTAAATTGTTGAATTTTAAGTTCAAATTATACTCCTCCGGTCCTTATTATAAGACCCAATTTGACTTTTTATTTGGTCCTAATTATAAGACCCAATCCATTTTGTCTCTTATATTTATGCATTTTTTTCCAAGATAATCCTTCTAATAATGATAGTTTTAGCCAATATACTTAATTAGCAAGGATATTTTAGGAATGACAACACTTATTTATTATAAATAACTAACTTAACTTACTTCCTTAATCTCCTCAAATAAGTCAATTGGATCTTATAATTAGGACCGGAGGAGTACTATTAATGACTTTAAGAGCATGGTATGTCTTCGGTGATTCAATCAACTAACGCCATCACACCATGTCTTCAACCGTCCTTTTCTTTTGTCTGAATCAATTGTCCCAAGTTGGAAACATTACCTAATAAAAATGCTAAAAAAATCCCTTTCTTTATCTTTATAATATTTCTTTTCCCTTCCATCTATATCTTTGTCTTCCTCATCCAACCACCCGAACCGCAACAAGCACCAACCCCACCTTTTTGCACGAAAAGTTTATTTTTATTTTTGAGTAATGCCATAGCTCATTTTTATTCTTTTGGGTAATTCCCAGGATATTGAACTTGAACCCCATCAAAAAACCAATATGTTTTGACTGGCAATTATGATAATCAACATTCATTTTCATAACTAGAAATTTCTTCCCATGCGGTGTGCAGATTAGAATACTTGATTAGATTTTAAATTCTAATAAATTGTATTATCTAAGATAGCTCAAGATTTACTTCTTATAGAAACATGATTTTTTTTTTTTTTACTGGGATTTGTATTAGAGATGGGGAATTTAGAGGAAACATATAAAAATTTAAAATTATTTATTTATTTCTCCATTTAAACCCTAAATTAACATACTATTTAGTTATGATACTTTCTATTTGATTCAATATATTCAAATCTCAATTAATATATTATTTAAATTAAAAATTAATTATTAATTTTTTTATTTGAGCCTCCAATTAAAATCCCATATAATAATAATGCTTCTTATTTAATTCAATATACCTAAATCCCCATCAAAATATTATTCAAATTTCATTAATTTGGTCTATCTGGATCTCATAATGTTATACCCGACCTATTTTTAAACAAATCAGTATTACAAGTTTTCAAGAATATAGTTGAGGATTGATTGATTTTCAACCCCTCAAGTTCATATTGGATCCAAGACATTAATTAATATAAATTTAAGAAATGTTTATTGTGGTTGTAAATGCATCTATATTGTTCCTTTACTTTTTACATCCATGAAGTGTTGAATGCACAGTATGGTTCTATACGTGTAAGAAATTGTATATACTTCAGTTAATTTTGAACTGATTTTTTTTTTTTTGCCTAGTAACTATGATTAAATTAAAACTATGTAATTTATAGAGTTAATAGTTATTCATTAACAACATATAATAACAAAAGTTAAAATTATTGTAAGGCATTTTAGGGAACAAAATCTGACCGTCAATTTAAAATATAGTGACATCCCACGTCGTCATGACACATTGACAAGCCCATCAATAATCCAAGTGTACAAAACATGGTAGAAAATAGTTGAACTATGAGATCATGAATAATTCTATCTGCTTTGTCACTTCAATTGGCAAAAAATTTCAAATTTGCCGGCTGATCTATGAATATTATCTATCTCATAATCTATATAATAATTTACCGCCCTAAATTAAATATTATTTTTATTTTTATTTCATTCATCAACTGAAATTAAACTAATATATTGTAAAATTTAATGTTAAATTCCGAACGAACTAAGAATAGGGAAATTTTGAGCAGTTTCGAAATTAAAAAGAATAAAATAAATTGATTTTAAATTGGGAAAAATAAATTGAAGCTTTTATAAAATAGAAAAATGAAAATAAGAGAAACTACTAGATTTCATCAACAAATGACAAATTTAAGGATTCAACAATTAACAGCATGTTTTAGGATGCATACTTTGGATTTGATATGAAGCATTTCTTTCCTTCCCTGTGCATTAATGAGACAGCCCCGAAAAGCCCCACGTTGGCTAGTTTTTGTTCATTAAGTTATTTTTTGAGTTTTAATTAAATCATAATAAATATAAATTCTCCAATAACATGTCAAATGTTTAATTTAGTCAGAATTATACAGTTAACTCTAAAAACCAAATGCCATTTATGTTCTACAACAACTGAAATTGTAACTGTTGTCATGAAAAAATAAAAAATTTTATTTTATTTTCCCATCATTTCCCCACAAATATTCTTGTTTTCTTGCCAAAATTTTCCCGCGAATATAAGCAAGGTGAATTACTGATGGACACCCCAGAGTGAAAGCTCAGCCGCTATGGTATAAACAATAGGATGAGGTGAAAAGTGGGTTTTGTCTTTATGCGGCGATCATGAGTAAAGCATTAGGAACGAGATGTACTTGCGACCCATTAACCTAATCAGCCATAATGCTTGATTGACTTCACTTGCATTTTTGGTTGTTGGGCTTGAACCAACTTTGAGCTGCCATTCCATGAGTACCTAAAATTCCTTTCAGTTTTTAGCCTCTTAAGCTGACTGTCAAATGTCGTCAACCTTGCATAACCCGCTATACAGTTCTCATCACTCCCACTTAACAAACTTTTTTCATTACCTAAAATACCCTGATGAAGTAGACCTTCATGTTTAATCCCTGAGGACTTTTCAAGTCATTTAGGGCAGCCTAGTTAGTGTTCCTCGACTCAAATTGCATCCAAATAGGACTTGCTTACAAATACACGAGAAAGTGGGCAATTTAGCTCTCATTCGGTGGCCACTTTGGGCTGTGGCTTTTAGACAATCCTGCACTTCCTAGATATTATATATGTTATGGAACTATGGGATATGGAATTGTATTTGTGCGGTATTGCTAGATTCACACACAGTGAGAGAGAGGGGAAGGGGGGCGAGGAGAAGGAAGAGGGGCATAGAGATTAAAGTTCCCCTTTTTAAAGTTTCTTGCTCAAATGAGTATTCCAACCACAGTTGCAGTTTGCATCAGATCAGTATGTACCATGGTGTCTCTGAGCCTGAGATGCTCACTTGAGCAAGCAATCTTAGAAAGTGGGAGGCTGTTGACTGTTGTTGCCGCCAACTTTTGTGCTCTTCAAGCTTTGATCAATTGTCAGATAAGTTCCCACGTCCCCTTTTTACTATTCGTGCTTACCTGCCCATCATCAAATGGAATCCATTACTTTCTTTCACAGCTAGCATGTGTTATAACCAAGGATATGATAACTGTCATTATAATTCAGAGCCTCGTACATTCTTAAGATTCTATTTGAACTGGTTGCTTTGCTTTGTTCTTTTTCTTTCTCTCTCTCTTTCCTTTGTTCCAATGAAAGTCTGTGAAAATGGTTGATGGTGTCTTTTTTTCTTTTGGGCCACTCAACATTAGATAGCAAGAAACACAGTAAAAGCTTCTTGGCAACTTTCGGCAGAAAAAGAATCGACAGCAAATCCTGATGCACCGTCCACCGTCCCTCGTTTCGTAGCTACCGACTAGAAAATGCCGCTAGTTAAAATTTTCAAAGGAGGCCAAGAATGGTGCCATTTTTTGCACCACCCCGAGTGCAGCAAAAACCTCTGAAGTCAGAAGCAGTGGAGCTTATCAGACGTCACAAAATCTGAAATGGGCATTGACAATCTAAAGAGTTCAGTTCCTGCCCATACAAATAAGTTGACAGATAAGCCTATCAAACTGTACCTGATTTGAGCAAACTTCGCCAAGACGGCAGGGTTGAAGTGCAGCAACATGACTCTGTCTTCTAGGCAGAATAAACACAGAGACGAAGATTTGCAATAATACCTTACCCATCGTGGGAAGGAAAGGTTGTTCTCCTGTCCGGCTAACTGCAAGTAATACCTGACCTGTGTACTTTCGTATTATATCGTTTCTGATAGAGTCAGAAGTGAACATATAAACATTGATCAAGCTAGCATAAATGATTATGGTTTATACTAATAATGATTATAAAATAAAAGGGAGATTCAAAGTCCAAAAAGCTAATGGGGGATGGCAATTTAATTCACTTAAGCAAGCACAAACAGGGAGCTTTCTCACAATCTCACCCAAAGAAGATCCTTAGCAGCAAGAATTCCCCCTTGTCACAAAGCAAGGTATCACGGGATTACTTCATCATTGGCATCCTCGAATTCACCACCATTCATCATCTTCATTACCTACAGCCATGGAGAAGGCTGCTGGAGCATCCCTTGCTTCTATACTCAAAGGATATATGCTTCTACTTTCATTGTCTCTCATCCAAGGTATGCCAATGGATAGTAATTTCCCTTATAGAATTGTAGCTTCTATACAGAATATAAAAACCTAGTGATCCATGTCTTCCAGGAATACAAGGAATTGGGGTTAACTATGGCACGGTAGCAAATAATCTTCCACCACCACCTCAAGTTGCAAAGTTCCTCTCAGAATCCACCATCATCAACCGTGTGAGACTCTTCGATGCTAACCCAGAAATTTTACGAGCATTTGCTCATACGGGGATTGAAATTTCCATTACAGTCCCAAATGATCAAATCCCCCACCTGACTAACCTAACATTTGCCCAACAATGGCTGAACACCAGTGTGCAACCTTTCGTGGCCGATACCAACCTCATCCGAATCCTAGTTGGCAACGAAGTCATATCCACAGCAAACAAACTCCTAATCAGCAACCTTGTTCCCGCCATGCAAACTCTTCACACAGCCCTCACCGGATCCTCCCTAGACAACCGCATAAAAATATCGACGCCGAACTCGTTAGGCATATTGTCGAACTCCAGCCCCCCTTCCACCAGTAGATTCCGGCAAGGCTACGACACTCATGTGATTAAACCGATGCTTAGTTTTCTAGAGGCCACCGATTCCCCCTTCATGGTTAACCCTTACCCGTTCTTCGGTTGCACCGCCGAAACGCTAGATTACGCACTTTTCCGGGGGAACCCCGGAGAGGTGGATCAAAACACTGGGCTTCGATACACGAACATGTTAGATGCGCAACTCGATGCTGTTTACTCGGCCCTGAAGGATCTGGGCTTTGAGAACCTTGAGATTGTTATTGCAGAAACGGGCTGGCCCACATTAGGCGAAGCCCAACAAATAGGTATCGACCCAAGTTCTGCTGCTGCGTTTAACGGAAACCTTGTTCGCCACGTGTCTTCTGGGGAGGGAACGCCTCTCATGCCAAACAGGACATTCGATGCGTACATATTTGCGCTTTTCGATGAAAATCTGAAGCCCGGCCCAATTTGTGAGAGGAACTTTGGGCTATTTAGGCCCAACATGACACCCTCCTACGACATTGGGCTTATGAAGAAAACAGTAACAGTAACGGCCTCGGCAGGTGCTTCTTGCGGAGCGTTTTGGTTAACCGTGGTTGCGTTGAACTTGGTTGGATTGTGGGCTTGAATGAGCCAGGCTCGGTGTTCATTTCCAATGGGCCAAATCTAGGCCCATTAAGAGCCCATGTGAGAAGCCACAGTGGGGTCTGCCCAAAACAGAGGCAAGCCCAGGATTATATTTGTGGGCCGACTCAAGAAGGTGGGGGATTGCGTCGCAACAGACCCTACCGTCAGATTCAGATCTCACGCTGCGTCCACCATTGATATTGGTGATCAAGCAAGGAGAAGGAACGAATACGATTGCGATTTTGAAGGAACTGGATCCATAACCACCGTCGATCCAAGGGAGTATTTGGTGGTATTTAATGAAATTGTAGATACCGAGATTTGTTGGTGTTCTTTTTTTTTTTTGGTTTAATGAAATGAAATTCAAGGGACAAACGAGGAAGGAAACAGAAATTAGCTGGGGGCTTATGGCTATTGGCTTCTTAAAAGTAGGATAGGATAATGAATGGGAACATACTTGCTGCTTTGGAAGATAATAGAAACTGCCATATTCTTTACTTTTACAATGAAAACTCGCATCATGTTGTGCCACAGAGAAGCAAGGCGTGTATAATAGTAATAGTTAAATAAAAGGATGATGTGGCGTTTAAAAAGTGGGGTAAAGGTTAAAACGAAGGCAACGATGAATCTTTAGTTTTTGGCTCCCTCTACAAGGCGGGAATCTTTTGGAGAGTACGTTTTATGAATGGTATTCATGCGGACTGACATTAAAATATTGGCTGCAGCATCCGTCCGATGCCTACCAATTATTCAATGGCAAGATTTTTTTTTTTTTTTAACCGTGTCGAGATTATGATCCTATAATTTATTGAAAGTTCTGTTGTTAAAAAAAAAAAAACATCATTTTTATGAGACACAGGTGGCGACTAGAGAAACACTGCTTTTCACTCCATCGCAGAAAAGAAACAAATCTAATGGTACGAACACCAAAAAACACAACAATAATACAAGAATAAGCTCAGTGTTGAACTTGCTCATGATCTTATAGAAAATTTTTACATCTTTGATCAATCACCACCTCTTATATATAAGAGGCGGTCGTTGATGAAGGAGGATATGGTTTTTTTTTTTTTTTTTTGCTTTGGCTAGATCCTAGGTTTTTTTTTTTTTTTTAAGCCTGTATGTTTCTGTTAAAGTAATGTCACTTACTCAAAAAAAAAGAGGCACCCATCTTTATGTGACCATATTATTCCCTCCATGATCATAAAATTTTATTTACATTTTTAAAATCCAATTATTTGAGAATAAATTAAAATAAAATTATATTTTCTCTGGGAAAAACTTGAAAAGAATTATCCCAAACTAAATACACACACAACCAACCATATCTTTTTTTTGCCGATTGCGGCGTAGATACGAACTGATTTAACAAGTACATATGGATGGCGAAGTTAAACCCCAGGTCAAAGCCCAGCCTCACGCTTATTTGACAAAATCTATTGAAGTCCAAGCAAAATTTAGAGTCACCGTTGGCATATATAGCTAATGTATAATTTGGAGGCGTTTACAAACAAACTCACAAAAAAAATAATGGCAACTATGCCAAGCCCTAACTTCCATTCCAACCGTCAATAACCGCTTTTCCCTCCCCTCTCTAGCCTCCCTCCCTTGTACCCTCCCTCTTTCCCTTTCCTTCTTCTCTCTTTCTCCGTCTCCCTCTCAGAGGCACCGGTACCACTGCACCTGATACGACATGAACGTCATCACCTCACCATAATATATGTAATATCTAACAGTAGAGTAATGTTCTAATTGAGACAAATATTAGTTGAAACGTTGTGTCGTATCTTTAACAACAACATAATCGGTGCTTCCTGACAAAGATGAAAAAGGTGGTGGTTTACGCCGTCATAGCCACCGCCTTCCTCTTCTTTTTCGTCGTCCTTTCCCCTCTGATCCAAGACCAACGCAGAGGCCCCTGTCTGAACCGTCGGTTCGGGTACAATATCCGAGAACGAGGTGTGAGCTTCGACCCGCTGGAGAGACGGATTAACGAGAGATCATCATCAGGGACAGAAGATAACGGGAAGAGATTAGTAGCAACAGGAAATAATTTTGTGGACACGACGAATAGGGAAGAGGACGATGTGAATGTGAATTCGAACACGACGGTGTTTAATGAGGTTATGGAGACGTATCAGTATCTGACGGCAGGTGGGAAACTGAACACCACCTTGAGGTTGACCATTTTGTTCCCTTTGTTAGATAGAGACCCTAAGGATTATTTGATTAGTTTCAACGAGTTAGAGGCGTGGATTCTTCAACAGTCAATGGATAGGTTAGATTATATGACCTCCACTGAGTTGAACTCCAAGGACAAGGATGGCGACTCCGCCATTTCTTTCCGGGATTATCTTCCCCAGTTTTCTGACTCCGATATAGGTACGTACGTACTTGTTCGTTCAATTAAAGACTCAGAAGTCGGTGATTTTGTGGGATATTAATGTGTGAATTTCAAACAGAGAAAAAAGGGATGGTGCACGGAGAAGCAGGATGGTGGCAAGAGCGATTTGAAACGGCCGACTTGGATCACAATGGACTGCTTAACTTCACCGAGCTTAAAGAGTAATAATAAAATTGTTCTTTTTTTTTTGGTTTTATTGTTGTTGGATTATAAGAAATATATCTACATGAATAAACAAGTGTTGGTGGGTTGTTGCATGCAGCTTCTTGCACCCAGAAGACAGCAAGAACGAAGGAATGCAGAAATGGCTATTGAGAGATAGGATGAAGTAAGGGTCTGTACGTTGTTATAATAATTAATTAGTATTTCTCCTATTCTATGTGTAAGTTCACACAAACAAAAAAAAAATTAAATTTTATTAATTTTCTAACTTTATCCGTATCTAATATGTATTATACCACACACATGAATCTGAAGTTGACATAATAACAAATAAAGAGTAGAATTGCAAAAAGTTTCTATCTCTACTTTATAAACAGAACTAAAAAAAAAAAATCTTCCTCTACTGTATAAATAGGATCAGAGAAAAAGAAATACATATACATATATATATATACATGATGAGGTTGAAATGTCTGTGATGAGTAGTGCGTACATGTTTGAATGTGACGTGTATATAATGCAGGAGAATGGATTATGATAATGATGGGAAACTGAATTTCAAGGAGTTTGAAGACCATGTGTATGGTACGTACGTGAGTTACGTGGAATTTGAAACTGCTGGAAAGAACGTTCCTCAACCACAACAGAAGTTTCATGAGCTTGATGTCAACAACGACAAGTAATAACCTCATTGTCCTTTTCTAATTTCTTCTTACATTAGTATCTCCATCCACTTGAATTTTTATAAATTTGTTGTTTTATGTCAGTTTTGATTATATATAGAGCATTTGCCATAATTAAGAATGGCGCGACTGAACTGTACGATGTTGTCTTGTTTAGCTTTTATCGTTCACATAAATGATTAATGTTGTATGATTTTTTTTAAAAAATATTTTATTTTTATTTTCCATACTAATGATTTATTTCAATGTATGGCCTCTCAGATTTCCTGGTTTCTTCCATTTTATTTCCATATCTCTCCAAATATTTAGTGTGTGTGTGTGTGTGTGTGTGTTTTACTTGATTCAATATTTAAAGTAATTAAAAGTACTTTGGCCCTCGATCTGATATATATAATTAACCAAGAACAAATATTTGGCAGTTTTTTGTCGGTGGAGGAATTGATGCCCATACTTCGATACCTCTACCCTGGAGAATTAGCTTATGCTAGATTTTACACAATATATTTGATCAACGAGGTTAGTTTTCTATTTCGCTCTCTTTAATTATTTGTGTCATGTCATCAATTTTTTTTTAAACAAATACTCCTCCGGTCCTAAATATAAAATCCAATTTGTAGTGTAAATTACACTATGAAATGGGTCTTATATTTAGGATCCGAGGAGTAACATATGATGCACCCCTCTCCATTTTTCATTGAAAATGCATAAATTTTCTTTTCACTTGATACAAGTTTTCTACTTTTATTAAACAAAAAGTTTCATATGGTGTTTGTAGTTTTGAAAAAAATAAACCAATGTTTAAATTTTGCTGAGAGAGATATCCATATTTAGAAGAATACTTACCTATTATTTATGCACAGAATTGTATAATTTTGTCTAATTAAGCCCCTCTGGTTGTTGTGTATTAATTTTGCAGGCTGATGACAATGATGATGGGAAATTATCACTACAAGAGATGATTAATCATGAAATTGTATTTTACCACACAGTTCATGCAGATGACTCCCACGATGATCACGACGAACTTTGATCTTCTCATCAAATTAAAGCTGATCAAAATCCTTATGAAACCTTTTGTGTTTATATTATAAAGTAAAGCCAATTTTAATTTCCTTCCCCGTAGCTCATTGTGATCATATATATGCTTTTCTTGATCCTGGTTTTTGGAATCCTTCATTTATTCCAGGGCACCAAACGCACATGTAGAGTTTTATTATTTTATTTACTTAGCACCTCCTTTTCTTAGGACGTTAATTGTGTTTTTTTTCCCTAAAATTTATTTTGGTAACAAAAGCTGATTATTTTTATTACTATTATTATTATTATTATAAAACCTAAAAGGTTTTGTATGTGCTCATGGCAATATAATCGCTCGTTTAAAGGCATCCAATCTAATATTACAAGATTAAATTTATCAAAATAATTTTCACAAAAAATAAAGTTGCTCTTTGGAAGGTCAGAGCTTTTGCATTAGCTAGCTAAGCACCTTGATGTCCCTCCGGGACATCTCTAATGATTAAAATAGATCAAAAAAGTCCACCTTTTGAGTTGGCAGTCACATATATGTACATATTACACACACAATAATAACAAATTTTATCACACCACTATAAAAGTTGCATGATACCATTATGGGCCTATTTGGAAACACTTTCAAAAGTATTTATAATCACATTTTATGTAAGCTGAGTCATCTTACATGCTTAACTCGTATCTCGTATAAATCATTTTAAATGGGTTCCATGTATTATCAACGACCATCTTTTTATATAAATTACTGTTAAAAAAAACTAACTTCTTCTTGTCAGTTTTCTTTTATTTTTCGTAAGACTTCATACTGCTTCCATTCTTCTTCTTATAGGCACGTTAAATAGCCTTTTCATACGTCTAAGAATCTCATTATTCCGTAACAAATTACTACTCTTTATTTTTAACATGAAAGCTAGTTAGAAATTATATTTGGTCTTAAATATAAGACTTTATTTTATTTTGTCTCTTAAATTTATAATTTTTTAGTAAAGGATTCCTATCAAGAAATAGTTCTTATGTATATGATTAAAGATGGTAGTTTAGAAAATTAATACACATATAATACAATTAATTAACTTAGTAATTTTCTTAATCTCTTTAAATTAAATTAGTTATCTAATTTCTCTATTAAAAAGTGTGGAGCTAGTATATTGGCTTTTTAGAAAAGGAAAAAAAAGCCAAACCCACCTCTTATTTCTCGAGAATGTTATCAATGATGAGTAGATCGCTGTCTAAAAATCATAAC